CGGCTACGTCTGCAGCCTGTCCGCAGCTCAGACACAAAAGCATTTCGCTACATGATGTACGCTGTGTGATTGTGTATGTGACGAATAAAAGGTTATTTGATGTTGTCTCCCAGGTGGATGTGCGGGCAGGTCGTGTCTACCAGGCCTGCCTTGTACACCTGAGAGCTACCTATTCATCAGTGAGTATTTATGCTTGGCCGTGCCTCCGGTTTGCAGCCAGATCCTCATCTTCATTGCTACTCAGCTGTGATACTGGCTGGTTTTGTAGATACCTGAGCACACAGGCAATATTCACAGACCTCCTTTTTTTCTCTGTATCCTGCAGATCATGTTCCTGCAGACTCCGACTAACTCCTCCAGTGACTTAGAGATGGAACAACTACGATACTGCACAAGAGGGGCTCAGAACACTGCTACACTCCTCCACATTAAAAGGAGTCAGTGGAGATGAAACCTGTTCTATTTCAGTTATGTAACTGTTGCTGTAGTTAACAGAAGATCACGCACACTGATCTTCAGGAGATGTGCTTTAGAGATATAGCATGCATAAATGCATTCTGTGCCGTGTAGTTTGAGCCTGATTACGCTACAGAAAACTTTATTCAACCATCCCGCTTCATTCTACTGTGGTTGCTGAACAGACCACAGTACTGTGCAGAAGTGTTGAGCCACTCCTCTTCTTTAAATATTTCAATTAGTGGGTCGCTCAAGACTTTTGCACAGTAGTGTATGTGTCGGATATAGAAAGGCAGTACCTTCTAAAGTGTTTGCACGGAAAGATTCTTTACTGTGGAAATACTCGACACAGCCAAAATTACACAAGCTGAACCACAGAAACTACATTTTCCAGATCAAATGATGCTGACAACCATGCTGTTTCAGTCTTGGCATGATGTATAGAGCACTTTGAGTACTCGCTATATGAGTGCTATATAAGAATCAGTCCGTTTACCATTTATGGAAATTTTTTGAGCTAAATGTTAAAACAATGATGATTGTCGGTTGGTGGTTTTTGGCGTTACCAAATTTAAATTCCTGAGTAGAGGTGTGGGGATGTACTTATAAAAGCTCATTACAATCCCTGTGTTTACTGCAAAAGAGAGCCATGAGAATTATTCACAATGTCAGATTTTATGAACACGCTAATGCTCAGGAATGTTTACATTCAGACTGCACAAAAAAAGCTTCTTTATTTTTGCTTTTTTTATTTTTGTAAGCCAGGTGAAAAAGAGCAACCAGCTGTTTTTGAACAGTTTTATAATTTTAGATATTGTGATCACAGATCAAGTTTTACAATACATGCACAATGTAATTCAGCAGTATTTGCGGCAGCACTGAGATTCAAAAGTGCGTCAATCAGCCTGTGTGTTTCAGGTTCAGCCTGATCAGCATGGAACAGTTTGCTTGTTCATAGTTTGTTTGTGTCACTCTGTATCTCTGCAGATCTGCCAGAAGGAGGTGCTTAAAGATCAGTTACACATTACTCAGAGCTGTTTTTATCCAGTTTATCTTCCTGAACATTAAAGCAAAAAAGAAAAGTAGTTAAAGTTACTTGTGTTTGTGTTTTTACCCGGTGAGAATAAATGGGCATGACTTTTATTTTTCAGACTTTCAGAGGAGAAATTTTCTTAGGGTTGCATGGAAATCAAATCTTTTTTTATACCCCCCAACACACACACACACACACACACACACACACACA